CCCACCCACTTGTTCCAGTAGAAACCTGGCAGATGTTTATCTAGCTCCCTCGAATTAGCTGAGCTGCTTGGTATCTGCCAGGTGGAAAGGAGGGCTGCATCCCTTCCAAACTGCAGCTCCGCTTTTGCCCCCACTCCCCAGTGTCCAGAGAGCAGCCAAGGGCAGAGAGGGAAGGAGGGGGCCCTGCTGGTCAGGGCTCAGAGCCGAGTCTTAGAGGTGACACCTGAGAGCTCAGGAAATAGGCCTCTCCTGAAGGTAAGGGTCACTGGTAGGGGGAGAATGGCTACCATGGAGATGGGGCAGGCTTGGCCTCAGCTTTGCACATTCTACCTCATGTTTCCTTCAGAACCCTGCACATGGCCCGCCTCTCTGTGAAGGTGACCAGCATCACTGAGATACAATCACTCCAGGCCCTATGGGACTCCAGAACTCGACTGTCATTCTAGCTCAGGGATCTTCCTCTCTATTGCATGAGTTTTTTCTTTTCAAATCCATGTCCAGTGGCCCCTGTGAGACTGTGGGCTGACAAGGGCGGTGTATGTCTCTCCCTTTTCCCACTTGCCCCTGATGATTTCTGTAGCGGAGTTCTCTACCCTCGGAGCTCAGAAGTTTGCAGGGCACAGTGGCTCACGTCTGTAATCCTAACACTTTGCGAGGCCAAAATAGTTAGATCAATTGAGGTCAGGAGTTGGAGACCAGCCCGGCCAACAGGGTGAAACCCTGTCTTTACTAAAAATACCAAAAAATAAATAAATTAGCCAAGCATGGTGGTGCATGCCTATAATTCCAGCTACTCAGGAGGCTGAGGCAGGAGAATCACTTGAATCCGGGAGGCAGAGGTTGCAGTGAGCCGAGATCATGCCACTGCACTCCAGCCTGGGGGACAAGAGCAAAACTCTATCTCAAAGAAAAAAAAAAAAGTCTGAAGGTCAACACAGGTAGAAACGGAGGTCAATGACTTCTTTGTAGCATTTCAAAACTTCTACAGGAAATCCTGTATCATAATAAAGCCTCACAGAAAAATTAACAGATGTGGTTTCCTTGCTTTTATCCAGATCTGGAATGATATTGGTTATCCCATGCTGAACAAATGGTCTGAGTGATTTTTCTTTGATTAATTTTTAAGAAGTAAAAACAAAATTAGCACTTAGGCCTTATAAACACAAGTTGTTTGCAGCCGATGTCCCAGGAAGCACCAACCCACGCCACCCCTGCATAAAGAAAGCCAGGCACACAGTGGGGGTTGGGGGTGCTGGCTGCCTGGCTGGGGCTGAGCTCCAGCTGCTAACCTTCCATTGCTTCCTCTGTTGTCCCCGCTGAAGACTCAGACGCTGCCTACTGGCCCTGGAGAAGCCCTGGAAATGTCAGAGTCTGGAAATGCTAGCTGCCCCCGTATTTACATGCTTTACCATACATGGGAATTGCTCAGTGCTGACGTCAGACAAATTCCTGGGGAGCTGCGTAGTACAGGCACATCATTACCATATAAATTCTTGACAACTGGAAACAGCAATCAGAACCCAGGACCCCTCCACCTCACCTTCTCTGCCCTCCCCTCAAATTTTACTAGTTCTCTTTCTCTCTCTCTCTCTCTCTTTCTCTCTCTCTCTTTCTCAAGAGGCTCTTTTCCAGGCTTCTTTGACTTTCCTGCAAACCTGCCTCTGAAACTCAAAGAGGCAGACCTGGTGAAAGCATATCCATGGGTGTCCGGGAGTGAACTACCAGGGTCCCCTCTGTGCCTACCTGCCCATGCAACAGACTAAAAGCCCGGATGTCAGGAGTTCTAGCCCTGATCCATCCAACTTAAAGATTATCTTCCTTAAATCGTTTATAAGACACTGTAAAGTACCCTGTAAAGCTGATGCATTCCACAAATGACAGCTACTTTCTGAGTGAGTTGATCTGGAAAAAAGAAATGTAGAGTAGCAAAGAAAAATACTAAGGTAGTGAGTGAGCATAGATTTTGGAAATAGCCCATATTTGAACGGCAGTTCCACAGGTGACCAGCTGTGATCCTGAGGAACTTTCTTACTACCTCTGGGCCTCAGTTTCTCTATCTGTAAAATGGAGAGCATCAGTAGCTACCTCATAAATTGTCCAAGACAACACATGTGAAGTACTTTTCACACTGTCTGGTACAAAACAAGTGCAGATATCTGCTTATTCTTTTCTGAAGGAGAGGCCAGCTCTAACACTTCTCATTCAGTTTTGTGTCTCTTTTGATATTTGACAATATGCCTGAGTAATAGCAAACGGCTGACTTGGAGGAAAAAGTCTATTTATTCTCGCTAGCACCTCTTTGGATCCCAAAATGTTTAATGCATGTATCTTCATAGTCTTCTTTTTTTTTTTTAATTTATTTTATTGCATTTTAGGTTTGGGGGTACATGGGAAGAACCTGCAAGATTGTTGCATAGGTACACACGTGGCAGTGTGATTTGCTCTCTTCATAGTCTTCTAGCAAGCCAACATTTTACAATAAGCTAGACCTACATAAATATTTAAAACTTTAGCAACCTGCCAGAAAAGCCTTCCCAATTTGCTTCCCCCACCAGGAGATGGACAGTGAATAAAGACTATGTCTCCAGGAACAGTGGGTCATGCCCATAATCCCAGCGCTTCGGAAGGCCAAGATGATGGTAGGGGCAGGGAGGGGATCACGTGAGGCCAGGAGTTCAAGACCAGACTGGCCAATATATGAGACACTGTTTCTAAAAAACAAAACAGTCCGGGCGCAGTGGCTCACACTTGTAATCCCAGCACTTTGGGAAGCCAAGGCAGGTGGATCACTTGAGGTCAGGAGTTCAAGAACAGCCTGGCCAGCACGGCAAAACACCATCTCTACTAAAAATACAAAAATTAGATGGGCGTATTGGCAGACACCTGTAATCCCAGCTACTTGGAAGGCTGAGTCAGGAGAATCGCTTGAACCTGGGAGGCAGAGGTTGCAGCGAGCCAAGGTCCCGCCATTGCACTCCAGCCTGGGCAACAGAGCCAGACTCTGCCTCAAAAAAAGAAAGAAAGGAAGGAAGGAAGGAGAGAGGAAAGAAAACTATGCCTTTTTTCCTCACCTGCTTGTCAATCTGCCTATGTGGAAAAACTGGCTAGTAACTATTTGTAACGTTTATGAGTGTCTGTCCGTAGGGCAACTCAGTTGAAAGACCATGGCTACCCCACTCACTCATTCATCAAATGTTTACTGATCACCCAGTCAAGTGTCTATACACTCCCAGGCTGCAGCTCTGGCCCCGTCAGGACTCACCAGCTCCAGACGCAGATGCACAAGTGTGCAATTAAAAGAGCAAACACCTGGGCCAGGAAGGAAGGTGCTAAGACAGACCAGCGGAGGCAAAGAGGCCACAGCACCCCTGTTTTTCCCATCTTATTAGCAGGCCAATTGCAGAGCTGATGGGCCTTCTTGTCAGTTTCTCTCCTGCATCCTCCACATACCCTCCATCCTGGGCATCTCAGGCCTTGCAGATGGCTCTCCCCTCCCTCTCCTCTAACCCACACTACGCCCTCTGCAGGATACACTTCCTTCCTTGTCTGACTGCCTCCGCCCCGGATATCCTTTCCAAGGCAAAGGGTCATTCACTGGGAGAGCCTGGCAGCATAGGCTGGATTTAGGAAACAATGGGTAAGAGCTGCCCACCAGCAGCTGAGGGCTGAGGACAGTCTCTCTCAAAAGAGGTAGCCTGGCCTCCTGAGCCAGAGTGCCGCTGGAGAGTCAGGAGGCAGCAGTTGAATGGGAGCAGGAGAAGCTCAGTCTCCCAAATCCCACCTGGGGAAATCGCCAGCATGTGCTCTGAGTGGACACAGAGAGACAGCTAGCACCTCCAGCCTCTTTGGCTTCTGGGAGGGAGGCAAGGGATGAGCGGAGGACAAGGAAGAAGATGTAACTGAGAGAGCACTCCTGCCTTGGAGGCTCTGTGTAATACACTCCCCAAGTAGCATCCCTGAAAGAAACTGAGGCATTAAGAAGTTAAACAGTTTGTCCAAGGAAACCTATGTGTTAAGTGGCAAATCCAAGAGTCAAAACTCTGCCTTCCAAATAATCCCCAGCAAGACTCCAGGCCACCTCTTCACGATACACTGATACACTTTCTACTAGGGCCCAGTGGATTTCCTCGGTGCCACTGTGACAGTATCCCAGTGTGGGGAGGGCCTGCCCATTCATTCACTCTCAGGGAGCAGCGGTGGGTGGCTGGAGCCCAGGGATCTAGGCAGAGCCTGAGCCCACTATTGCTCCAGCCGATTGATTCCTGGATCACAACAGCACCAGAACCAGAAACATGCAAACTATTCTCTGGTCTGTACCAGTAGATACACTACCTGCCTCAGAGGGCTGATGGTTGGGTAACACATTGTGATTTGCTTAAAACGTGCTCAATACCAGCCCCTTTCTTCCTCCCCAGCTTTCAAGGACTGAGGCCATTAAACACTGACTGCAGGCTCTTTCGGGCTTCAGTAACTATCACCACCTGGCACCAAGACTTGCAGCGGAGAGGTCTCCATGCACTTCTTTCACAAGAGGGAAAACTCGCACCTGCCTCAGGGACACAGATGTCCAAGGTCAGGCTTATGACGCCAGATGTTTACCCCACCCCGCCCGCGGGCATTTTCTCCCCAGCAGGAGGGTGAGGGAGGGGGTGGCACGGATGCGCTCATCTCTCTGCCATACAATGAGCGTCAGTGTCGCGCAGAATCGCCGATTGTTCTGCACGACCTGCAGGCAGTTGAGGGAGGCCGGGTGGCCCTGGATCACGGACACGCGAAAGTCAACTGTGTCCAGGAAGCCCAGGAAGCCGCGGGATGTGGAGGGACCTAGTGCCTCAAGGAAAGAGCAGCACTGCCCCCGGCTAACTGCGGTCACTTCTCACAGTTCCCTATCCGCGACAGCCCCCGGGCCGCGGCGGGGCGGGCAAGACTGGGAGGCGCTGGGTGCGTGCCCAGGCGCCCCTCCGCGGGGGACAGAGCCGCGCGGCCCGGGGCGCACTCACCTGGCAGCTGGCTGGGCGGCGCGCGGGCTGCGGGCGCTCTCGGAAGTGGCGGCTGGGTGCGCCCGGCCTGCGCGCCGTTTTGTTCCGCTCCGGGGAAGGCGTGTCCCGGGCCACACCAACCAGTGGGCTTTGCACACTGCACCACTCCAGGGCTGATGTCATGGCGCGAAGCCCGGCGGCGCTGCCCTCCCAGGCCCCAGGACAGCCCGGCCGGCAGGGGGCGGGTTCAGGAGTCACCGACTGCGGGCGCCCCCTGTGCTCGCGCTGCCGTCCCACTGTGCGCCATGTGGCCGCCACCGCGGAAAACGTCTTGCACATGTCAGGGACATTTCAGGGGTTTCCTGTCAGTCGAGTGAGAAGGCGGAGATGTGACCTTAGAGGTCAGACCCACGATAAACTTGGGCCCCTAACGAAAGTGGTGTCTCGAATTTGCGTGTACTGGTGGCAGAGGGTAAGGGACACATCTTGCGCGCCAGGGTAAGACAGACCCTTCCAGGGCAGATCTGATTCTGCCCGTCCACTCACTAGCTGGGCCCTGGGCCTAGACATGCAAAATATTCTCTGTTCTGTTCCAGGGGGCATTCTGTCCCCACCTCCTCAACCAGTCCCCATCCCTTCCTGAGTGTCCTGTGTAGGCGTTACAGGGGGCAGAGAAGCTCACACCCTCCAGAGCTGCTGCCTGGGCCAGAGGAGAGCCCTCACCCCTTGCCTGGATGGGAAACAGCCCAGAAATGCAATGTTCTACACAGAGAAGAAGCTTCCCAGGAGCCTCTGGCAGGGAGGACCTAGGTAGGGGAGGAGAGCCAGACTTTAAGGGGAAGTACCATTTTCTTTTCCTCCTCCCTGCCCCTGTCCATTCTGCTGTGCATCAAGCAAGGAGCACTGCCCTTTTTGGGAACTTGTGAGTTTGGATTTGGGGGAACACGAACAATCTGCAAGAGAAAGTGATGTTTCCAGGAATAGGAGGAGTAAGGAAGGAGTGAGCGCCTCGGGAAATAAAGCCTTGTCTTGTAGTTTGTAGGTTTTCTCAAACTTGTTCACTTTATTTCTTTTTTTTTTTTTTTTTTTTTTTTTTTTTTTTTTTTTTTTTTTTTTTTTTTTTTTT